CACGATGTCACAGTAGTCAAGTAGAGGCAGTATGGTAGCTTTTATCAATTCCAAACGGAACATTGGGGGGAAGCAGGGCTTGTGTCGATACAGAAAACCAATTTTTATTTTTGTCTTTTTACCAATATAATCAATGTGATCTTCAAAACTAAGTTGTGAATCCAGGATGACCCCAAGATACTTATAGATATTGACTTGCTCTATTTGATAATTATTCAAGGAATGTAATTGGGGAAAAATAACTTCCTGCTTTAGTCCCGGAGAGAAGCATAGCACCTTGGTTTTGGAGGTATTCAGGACTAGTTTAAGATAAACTAGCTGATGTTGTAGTTTGTTGAAATCACCCTGGAGCTTAGCAATCACGTGCAATCATGTGCACTGGTGATGACGATGTGCACTGGTGATGATGATGTGCACTGATGATGATGTGCACTGATAACGATGTGCACTGGTGATGATGATGATGTGCACTGATGATGATGATGATGTGCACTGGTGATGACGATGTGCACTGGTGATGATGTGCACTGATGATGATGATGATGATGTACACTGGTGATGACGATGTGCACTGGTGATGATGTGCACTGGTGATGATGATGTGCACTGGTGATGACGATGTGCACTGGTGATGATGATGTGCACTGGTGATGACGATGTGCACTGGTGATGATGATGTGCACAGATGATGATGTACACTGGTGGTGATGATGATGTGCACTGGTGATGATGATGTGCACTGGTGATGATGATGTGCACTGGTGATGATGATGTGCACTGCTGATGATGATGTGCACTGGTGATGATGATGTGCACTGATGATGACGATGTGCACTGGTGATGATGATGATGTGCACTGGTGATGATGATGATGTGCACTGATGATGACGATGTGCACTGGTGATGATGATGATGATGTGCACTGATGATGACGATGTGCACTGGTGATGATGATGATGTACACTGGTGATGATGATGATGATGTGCACTGATGATGACGATGTGCACTGGTGATGATGACGATGTGCACTGATGATGACGATGTGCACTGGTGATGACGATGATGTGCACTGGTGATGATGATGATGTGCACTGATGATGACGATGTGCACTGGTGATGATGATGTGCACTGGTGATGACGATGTGCACTGGTGATGATGATGTGCACTGGTGATGATGATGTGCACTAGTGATGATAATGATGTGCATTGATGATGATGTGCACTGGTGATGATGATGATGTGCACTGGTGATGATGTGCACTGGTGATGATGATGTGTACTGGTGATGATGATGTGCACTGGTGATGATGATGTGCACTGGTGATGATGTGCACTGGTGATGATGATGTGCACTGGTGATGATGATGTGTACTGGTGATGATGATGTGCACTGGTGATGATGATGTGCACTGAAGAGCCTGAAACGAGGGGCTGGCTCATCGCCAGGTGTCGGGGTGAGGAGGAAGAGGCGGTGGATGAGGAGGCCGTTGAGGAGGTGGTGGAGGTGGATGAGGAGGTGGATGAGGACGAGGTTGAGGAGGAGGCTGTGTAATGCGACTCGCGCTGTGTTCAGAACCGCGGTTGACCCCCGCCCCTCCCACTGAGTTTTCCGAACAGCGGCGGGGGGCGGGGGGAATTTTCACGGTAAGGTGGGGGGGGGTCGAGGGGGGGCTACACGCGCTCTCTCCCTCGCGCGCGCGCTCTCCCTCTCGCTCTCCCTCTCGCTCTCCCACGCGCTCTCGCGCGCGCTCCTTCACGCGCTCTCCCCCTCTCGCGCCGTCCGTCTCGTGTGAGAGAAATAGAGCGAGGGGGAGCGGTGGCGCAGTGGTCAGCGCACTGCCGCTACGAACCCGGCGAGGAAGAGCCGTCCCGAGGGTACAGCGAATCAGGGTGGCCGCCCCAGGCCCCGCGCTTTGGTGGGGGGGGGGGGCACCGCGTGCGTTGACGAGACGGTGTCAGATGCAATACTCCCGGAGGAGTTTGAAGGCGTCAGGGGGGGATTTGACCCCCGGGTCCCCCCCCCCTCCCCTATGGACGACCCTGCCGGCGACGGACCCGAGTTCGATTCCTGCTCACGACCAATAATAATGATAAGAGTGACTGCGAATATCTGAACCCGGTACCTCGGGTCTCCCCCAAGCTCGACTCAGCCTTAAATCAATACCTGGTACGATGTGTAAACATCGCCACTTGGGGGAGACAAAGGCGGTCGGGCGTAGCACTCGCCCCAACAGCCTGTCAAGGCAACAGGAGGAATCTTTATCTTTGCGAGTATGACTCGCGTGCGATTATCGACAATAAACCCATCACGTGCCCTGTAAACATATGTACGTTCCGATCTTATTGTTCGATTTGACTCACAATAATTGTATGCGCATGTAAAGGCAGAAAGCTGTAAAACTGAACACTACCCGAAGGATGTGTGTGTTAATGCGTGGACACTGTACTTTGATTTTAGGCAATGGGTGTCTCACGCTAATGTCCACGTGGACAGGAATCGAAGCTTATGGAGGTCGGCACGTCACACGAGGGGGTGGGTGGCCAGCACCACGCCAAGGCCCCCTTTGTCTCCCCCAGTGGCGATGTTCTTACACACCGCACAAGGTACTCATTTGAGGCTGAGTCAATCTAGGAGAGGCCTAGGACCGGTTTAGATAATCGTCACCACTTGGTGTTGGCCGTGAGTGGGAATCGAACTCCGGTCACCGGGTTCGTAGCGCGGCCCGCTAACCGCTCCACTACCGCTCCCCACACACTCGCTTTCACACACGCACATGTGCACGCGAACACACACACACAAACACTCACCCCCCCAGCGCCAGGCTCACTCATTACATCTCTCTCAGCTGAACAAATTAGTTCCGCGGTTCAATTTGCAAATGCGAGTTTAAGTGAATGTAAAAATAAAAACCCTATTTTCATCGAAGCTGGTTCGTAAGTGCGGGTGTCCGTAAGTCGAGGACTGACTACGCTAAACACGTGCACACGCGCGCGTACACGGCCCTGCTCTGAGCACACGCGGCACAGGTGTGAGCGGGAGGCGCGCTAATTCAAGAGCGACTCTAAAATAAGCGCCTCGCCCCCGCTTCTGTCGTTTATTCACCCCGGCTCGTATGCACGGGGCCGGGTTCAGAGTGCGTGGGTGAGTCGATGGGCGCATGGGTGAGTGGGTGAGTTTGTGGGTGGATGAGAGTGTGGGTGAGTGGGTCAGTCGGAGGGTAGATGAGTGAATGGGCGAGTGGGTGAGTCGGTGGATGGATGAGTGAGTGAGTGGGTGAGTCGGTGGGTGGATGAGTGAGTCGAGGGATCACGGCCAACACCAGTGACAATTATCTGAACCGGTCCTGGGCCTCCCTTAGGTCGACTCAGCCTTTAATGAGTAACTGGAGCGGCGTGTAAAGATCGCCACTAGGGAGACAAAGGCGGCCGGGCGTGGTGTTTGACACCCATCCCTTCGTGTGCCGTGCCGGCCTTCACACGTGCTCGCTGACAGCACTTGCCCCAAAAGTCTGTTCAGGCTCTACGGGGGATCTTTATATTTGGGTGAGTGGGTGGGTGAACGTGTGGGTACATTAGTTGGAGGTTAGATGAGTGGACGGGTAGGTGAGTGCGAGTTTGGGTGAGTGGATGGGTAGATGAGTGGTACACGGGGTGAGTAAGTGGGTGAGTGAATTGGAGAGATGAGTGGAAGGGTGTGCTGTTGGTTGAGTGGGTGAATTGGCGAGCGGATGGGTAGATGAGGGGCGGGTATATAGATGAGTGAGTGGATAAGTGGATTAGTGGGTGAGTGTTCGGTGGTTGAGTGAGTGGATGGGTGAGTTAGTGGGTCAGTGGGTTTAAGTAGGTCTGTGGGTAGGTGGATTAGTGGACGGGCAAGTTGATAATAGCTTGAGATTGTCGGTAAGTTGGTGGGTGAACGGGCAAGTGGTTGAGTGCGTTGCTAAGTGAGTGGGTGAGTGAACGTATTGGGTGGGTGGGTGAGTGAGAAGCAGGGAGTGCGAGTGGTTGGGTGGGTGGATAGGTCGGAGTGTCGCTGAGTGAGGGCTTGGAAGCTTCGGTGAGTGAGTGAGTGAATCGATGGGTGCATGAGTCCGTAGGTGGATGCATGGGTGAGTGATTGTATGGGTGGCTGAACGGGTGGATGGGAGGGTGGGTGGGTGGATGGGTGCGAGGGTGGGTGGGTGGATGGGTGCAAGGGTGGGTAGGTGGATGGGTGCGTGGGTGGATGGGTGGATGGGTGCGAGGGTGGGTGGGTGGATGGGTGCGAGGGTGGATGGGTGGATGGGTGCAAGGGTGGGTGAGTGGATGGATGCAAGGGTTGGTGGGTGGGTGGATGGGTGCGAGGGTGGGTGGGCGGATGGGTGCGAGGGTGGGTGGGTGGATGGGTGCAAGGGTGGATGGGTGGATGGGTGCAAGGGTTGGTGGGTGGGTGGATGGGTGCAAGGGTGGGTGGGTGGATGGGTGCGAGGGTGGGTGGGTGGATGGGTGCGAGGGTGGGTGGGTGGATGGGTGCAAGGGTTGGTGGGTGGGTGCAAGGGTGGGTGGGTGGATGGGTGCAAGGGTTGGTGGGTGGTAGGATGGGTGCAAGGGTGGGTGGGTGGATGGGTGCCAGGGTGGGTGGGTGGATGGGTGCCAGGGTGGGTGGGTGGATGGGTGGGTGGGTGAATGGGTGCAAGGGTTGGTTGGTGGGTGGATGGGTGGGAGGGTGGATGGGTGTGAGGATGGGTTCGTGGGTGAGCAGGTGGATGCGTGAGTCAGCGAGTGGGTGACCGGGTGATACTCTTCAGCGGGTGGGTGGATGATTGTGTGGGCGGGACTGATGCGAGTGCGAGTTAGTGGGTGGGTAGTTGGCGTTGCAGGAACGAGGTGGGGGGGGGGGGTGGAGAAGTGACGGCCGAGTGGATGGTTGGCTGGCTGGTTGGTCGGTAGGTGATGTATATTCACAGTATGGTAATGCGAGCGTGGTGGTGGTGGGGGGTGGAGTATTGGGGTGGGGTTGGCCTCACGCTCGCTTCCTCGTGCACTCGTCCGCAGCGGTGCACGCACGCAGACACGGCGCAAATTCTCTCTCCCTAGCCCTCGTTGCTCACCGAGCCCTGCAGAACTCGCTCGCTCGCGCACTCATAATCTCTCACCCCCCCTCCTCCTCATCCTTACACCGCGCGCCGCTGTTTGGTTAGATTTAATGAAATATGCCGATGGTCCGGATTGCCAGCTAGTAGCGCTGACACATTAGGAGCAGCAGCAGCAAAATCAGCTGCAGAGGAGGAGGAGAAGCCACCGGTTGCTGTGCGCCATGCAGCGAAGTGTTGGAAGGCGAGGAGGAGCAGGAGGAGGTGGAAGAGGAGGCGGCGGAGGAGGAGGAAGGACGAATTGGGGTTTGCAGTCTGTCTGAGCGTCTCCCGTGTGTGCTCCCCTCTGTGACTCACTCCTCGTCCCATCGTGCTCGGCTTCACACGTATAAAAGCCATCGTCGGCAAGATCAACAACATCATCATCAAAATAATCATTAGCAGCGGCAGCAAACGTGCTCCCTTTACCCGTTGGCGTTCTCGGCATCTGAGCAAGACACGTGGATTGTGGTTTTTGTGGAACGAACTTTTGCCGAGACTGACTTTTGAGTTTGGAGTCGAGGCGAAGATGGGATTTCGAGCGGGGCTCGTGTGGCTGCTGTGCTCCCAGTGTTTGGTGCGCGCCGAGCAGGTGAGCTTGTTGTTGTTGTTGCTGATTGTTGTTGTTTATTGTTGTTGATCTTGTTGTCTTCAGGTGTTCTTTTAACTGATTGGTTTGGATTGAAACGCTGAGCATTGTACGATTTTGCGAGGGCAATAAGCGCACGGAATTGCGTGGCCAACAACACCACGTACTCCGGGCCGCCTTTGTCTTCCCCACACCGACAACACGTGTGTTCATTTGAGGTGGAGTCGACCGAGCGAGCTGCCTGCCCACCCGGAGGCGCAGGTTAAGTTATGATAATGCCCGTAGCGCAGTGCGCGAACCACTGCACAAGAACACCAGCGCCCAGATACAAAGACAGAGCTCACCCACATGTCCTTGGCAGACACTCAGCGAGCAACTATGAAGGGCACCGTGGCACACGAATAGGGGGCGGGTGGCCGGCACCACGCCCGGCCGCCTTTGTCTCCAACGTGGCGATGTTCACTGCACACCGCTACCAGGTACTCACTTTGAGGCCGAGTCGGCCTTGGGAGAGGCCCAGGAACCAGGTTCAGAAAATCGTCGTCGGTGGATGGCCGTGAGCGGGGATTTTGAACGCGCGAGTTTTATAGCCACGGGGGCTTGTTTCACGCGTTGCTGCCTATACCGTGATGCGACGGTTTCGCGTCGTTTCATTTCGCTTTGCCGTGTCATCATTCACCACCGACATTGGCGGGCCAAGTGAGCTCGACGCTGCCACGCGTCCTGGAGCGAACGCGTGCCGACACGCTAGCAGTGGATCGGCATCGCCCTTCAGCTGCCAGCTGTGGTTTGAGTGAGAGGGCCCGTGACCGAAGCGTCAATTGCGAGGGCTTTTATTTATTACACATACAAAACATGTGTGTGTGTAATATATATGTAGCGGTAGTGGAGCGGTTAGCGCTACGCTGCGCTACGAACCCGGCGACCCGAGTTCGATTCCCGCTCACGGCCAACACCCAGTGGCGATTATCTGAACCGGTCCTGGGCCTCCCCTAGGTCGACTCAGCTTCAAACGAGTACCTGGTGCGGTGTGTGGTAAACATCGCCACTGGGGAGACAAAGGCGGTCGGGCGTGGTGCTGGCCACCCACCCCCTCGTGCCGTACCGGCCTTCATAGTTGCTCGCTAAAATCACTTGCCCCCTACAGTCTGTTAAGGCTACACGGGGGATCTTTGTCTTTGTTATATATGTAAGGCAGTGTTGATGTTGATGACGAAAGTGCCGAGGTTGCATAAAATGCGCCTCAAGGATCGTCGAAATCCAGGCGCGTGACAGAGCGAGCATGCGTGTGTGTTGTGGGGAGCGGTGGTGTAGTGGTTAGCGCTACGAACCCGGCGACCCCGGGTTTGATTCTCGCCAGCACCGGTGACGATTATCTGAACCGGTCCTGGGCCTCCTCTAGGTCGACTCGGCCTCAAACGAGTACCTGGTGCGGTGTGTAAAAATATCGCCACTGGGGGAGACAAAGGCGGCCGGGCGTGGCGCTGGCCACCCCACCTCCTCGTGTGCCGTTCCGGCCTTAATAGGTGCTCGCTAACAGCACTTGCCCCAATAGTCTGTTAAGGCTACACGGGGGATCTTTGTCTTTGTGTTGTGGAGAGCGGTGGCGCAGTGGTTGACGCACTGTTGTAATGAACCCGGGGCCGCATGAGATCCATTCCCGGTCACGGCTGGATGAGCATTGGCGAGTCGGTCCTGGGTTTCCCGAGATAGACTCTGGTATCAAATATAGTACAGCACCTGGCACGGTGTGTGTGTGTGAGCATCCGCACCGGAGAGACAAAGGCGCGCCGGGTGACGTTCGCGTGAGAGTGTAACATCAGTCCCCACCCACGCGTGTCGCGTCGGCCTCCAAGAGGTGCTCGCTAACGAGACTTGTGCCTCTGCAGTGTGCTAGGCTATCCGGGGATATCTTTGTATTTTTCTCGTCTTGTTTACGTACACGCGAGAGGAGTGAGTTCGCGTGTGCGCAGCTGTTTGTGTGCGTGCGCGCGTAATTCGAGTGCGGCTTTCATTGGCAGTGCACACGCGTGAAGAGTCCGCCGACGAGGTCGTGTGAGAGAGTGGGGGGGGGGCGTGGTGGTGGTGGTGGTGGATGTGAACCCCGCGATCCGAGTTCGATTGCCGCTCACGGCCATCCAATACAACGGCGACAAATTTGCCTGAGGCCGGTCTCTGGGCTTCCCCTAGGTCGACTCGGCCTCGAATAAGTTCCCGGTGCGGGTGTGTAAACTGTCGCCTCTGGGAAGGGAAGACAAAGGCGGCCGGGCGTGGTGCTGGCCACCCACCCCCTCGTGCGCCGCGCGGGCCTTCATAGGTGCTGCTCGCGAACAGCACTTGCTCGGACAGCCTGTGAAAGGCTATGCGGGTGATCTTTGTCTTTGCGATATGAATGTGGAGTTTGGTGGCAACCGTGGTTAGCGCAGTGTTCTGAGAACGAGTTCTATTCTGCACCACGGACAACATCGAACCCGGTCCTGGGCCTCCTCTACGTTGACTCGGCCTCAAATTACTACGAGGTGCCGTGTGCAAAAAAAAGAGTTGGGGAGACAAAGGCGGCCGGGGGTGGTTCTGCACACACCACCACTATACCACCACGTGCGTCGTTCCGCCCTTTGATATAGCTTCTCGCTGACAGCACTTTCGCCGCCGTAACTCACGTAGGCTACACGGAGCGTCTTTGTCTTTGTGTTTAGACGCGCGTTTGTGTTATAGTACGTGTTCTGTGAGAGCGAAACGGAGTGAATGCGTGTCTGGAGAAATGAATGTGTCTTTATTTAAGCAGATAATGGCCCCCAGAGATAGACATCTCCCCAGCACGGGTGAGCTCCTACATATACTGTGCATCTGTGCGTGTGAGCATGTGAAGTATGCGTGCGTGTGTGTGCGGGCACGTGTGTGTGTGTATATGTGTTGGACAATCGGTTGTGTAGGGTTTTATTAGCGCGCTGCGTCTACGAACCAGGCTACCCGAGTTCGATTCCCGCTCACGGCTAACACCGGTGACGATCATTTATCCTGGGCCCTCCTCTAGATTTACTCGGCCTCAAATGAGTAGCCGGTGCGATGTGGAAAACATTAACACGAGGGGGACAAAGGCAACCTGGCGTGCTGACGGCCACCCACCCCGAGTCTGTTGAAGGCTATAGGGGAGATCGTTGTCTAAAGTCTTTAAAAGTGGCTCTGTGCTCGCTAAGAGCACTTGCCTCCACGGTTTGTATAGGCTATTGGGAGACCTTTGTCTGTGTGAGCTCCCACATACACTGAGCATCCGCGTGTGTGTGTGGCAATGTGTGTGTGTGTCTGCCTGTGTTAGACAATCTGTGTGCACGAGTTGTATTGTGAGATGGTGCGTGTGTATGTGTGTGTGTGAGATAGTTTGTGTGTGTGTGAGTTAGTGCGTGTGTGTTACTGTGTGGGGGGAGCGGTGGTGAAGCGGTTAGCGCTACGAACCCGGAGACTCGAGTTCGATTCCCGCTCACAGTCATCACCGGGGACGATTATCTGAACCGGTCCTGGGCCTCCCCTGGGTAGACTCGGCCTCAAATGAGTACCTGGTGCGGTGTGTAAACATCGCCACGTTAGGAAGACAAAGGCGGCCGGGCGTGGTGATGGCCACCCACCTCCTCGTGCGCCGTGCTGGCCTTCATAGGTGCTCGCTAACAGCACTTGCCCCTTCAGTCTGTTAGGGCTATACGGATGACCTTTGTTTTGTGTTTGTTTATACAAGAGCTGTATAGTGTGTGTGTTGGTGTGCGAGTGTATGTTATGTGTTTGTCAATATGTGCGTGTGTCTTTGTGCTCGCCACTAGGGAGACAAAGGCGGCTGGGCGTGGTACTGGCCACCCACCCCCTAGTCGGCCTTCATAAGTGCTGCTCACTCACAGCACTGGCCCCAACAGTCTGTCAAGGCTTTACAGGGGATCTTTGTGTTTGTGCGAGTGTGTGTTGTCGACCCGTGGCACCTGGGTCTGCCCCGTGACCCCCTGCCAGTGGGCGTTCGACACTTCACGTGGCCTCAAGGTGCACATGGCCTGGCACAAGCGTCGTGGTGACGTCACCGCCACTTAGTGGCGAATGGCGGTTGTTGTTGTGGCGTGCGATTGGGGTAGTTCCACGCGTCCAACAACAACCGTCATCAAGTGGCGGTGGCGTTTGTGCCAGGCTAGGTGCACTTTGGGAGGCCACGCAACAAACCCAGGTGCCATGGGTTGACTGAGACGACTTGCAGATGACTCGCAATGACAAAGATCCCCCGTATAGACATTGCATACTATTCGGGCAAGTTCAACGATCACACTGAACGCACATGGTCACACAGCCAACCTGATGTATACGTGCAAACACAAAGGCAAAGGACCCCCCGTGTAACCTTAACTGGCTGTGGGGGGCCGTGGATCGGTTCGGATAATCATCACTGGCGTTGGCCGCGAGCTGGAATCGTACTCGGGTCGGCGGGTTCGTAGCTCAGTGCGATAACCATTGCACCACCGCTCCACACACACACCCCACTTAGTACACAATAGAGTACAGTAATTACAATACCTTCCGGCAATCTTCTTTGTTGTGCGCTTTACCGCATCACGCGTGTGGTGTGTGCGTGTATGTACACGCATCTGACCACGGTCCCTTCGGGGAGCTCCTCAGGCAGGCGAGGCTGCGTTGGCTGTGTCATACACGAAGCCCTCATGCCCAGCCACCGCAAGCCCAAGCATATTATTTTTGGTCGGATATAGAGGAGGCTAAACAGGCGCGGATCGGGCTTGAGAAGAGATGGAGTGATGTGGTACAGGAGGATGTGGAGCTGAGTGGACTTGCCGATGACTGGTACCAGTGGTGTCAAGATCGGCCTCTGTGGAGAAGGCTCGTGAAGGACGCTGCTGGGCATTTGGAGGCAGTCGCCCTCCAACAAGGAGTGGAGGGGCAGGTGAATATAATGCAGCGAGTTGGTGGTGCATTCTCTGCCAGTCATCTCAGTCGGTCAACCCATGGCACCTGGGTCT